AGTTGAAGACCACTGTGCGCGGCGCGCAGGCGAGAGACCCGTGTTGTAAAGGAACCGCCCAATCCTTGTAAGTCCTGCATGCACGGCACGCTAAAGTGCGCGGCGCTACGGCAATATCCCCATGTTGGAAACTGTCCTCCATCCTTGTAGCCGTTGCCAGCGTTCAAGACGAATGCGCGCGGCGCTAGGGCGGAAGTCGCATGATGAAAACCGCCTCATCATTCCTTGCGGCTGGTGCACGCTTTTGAGACGATGGTGCGCGCGGCGCTACGGCGAAATCCCCATGTTGAAGCCGCCTTTCTCCATCCTTATGACTGTTGCATCTGTGAAGTGTACAGCCGTACAACGGAGGTGCATAACCGCTCTTTTCAATAATCGTCGTCGGTTTTGCAACCTCCGTTTCGCGTGTCGCGCAGGGCTAGTGCAGGTCTCTGCGCCTCAATTACTTCCGCGTGTCTCGGTCGTTGATCATTCTGAAGTGCAGAGCAAGCTCGGGGATACATCAGTATTCGTTGTGCTCGGGAGGGGTGGTCAAAGCTTGTGAGCCCCGCATTGCCAGCAACATTGCTTTGTGTTTTTGCTTGAGGGCGAGACTTGCTTGTTTGCTCGGGGGTTCCGCGCGCACAGTTTTTAGATTTGGACGTAGAATGCAAACGTCCGCGCATGCATTGTTGGTCTGTCGAGAGGCAAATCCGTTAGGATCATCAGTCCTTGAAGCTTCGCCCCCGCCGTCAGCCCATCCAGCAATGATTACGTTGCGAATTGTCGCGCATTGTCGCCTTCACAATGTGAAGGCGACTGTGCGCGGCGTTTATGCGAAAGGTGGGAGTTTCAGGGACCTTCGGTGTGAGGCAGTCTCAGGAGAAACGCCCGGCCTTCTCTACCGATCCTTCTGGGGTCGCGTCAAGAAGGAGTTATCTATAATGACGAGGGATTGAGGATGACGAGGAGGAGGAGGAGGAGGAGGAGGAGGAGGAGGAGGAGAAGGGGGAGGAGGAGGAGGATTAGGAGTATGATGATTGTGGTGATGAGGCGAAGCTGGAGAGGTGCGAGAGTGGTGGAGGATGATGAGCAGGATGAGGCGGGAGGGGGGACGGAGGCGGGAGGGAGGGGAAGGGAAAGATGATGGTGGTGATACTGTTGATGATGATGATGCTGCTGATGGTGGTGGTGATGATGCTGACGAGGATGACGATGTCGATGATGGTGATGATGAGTACGTATGATGGTGCTGACAATCATGATGATGAGGTAGATGATGCCGATGGTGATGATGATGCTGATGATGATGACTAGGTTGTTGTTGATGTTGTTGTTGATGATGATGACGACCAAGATGATGATGCTGCTGCTGATGAAGATGCTGATGCTGACGATGGCGAATATGATGAGGATATTGATGGTGGTGGTGATGATGCTGCTGCTGCTGGAAGGTGGTGGTGGCGGTGGTGATGATGCTGATGATGGTGGTGGTGATGATGATTGTAGTGATGATGAGAAGGAGGGGGAGGAGGAGGAGGAGGAGGAGGAGGAGGATGGAGGAGGAGGAGGAGGAGGAGGAGGAGGCGGCGGAGGAGGAGGAGGAGGTGAAGGATGACGATGACAAGGAGGAAGAGGAGGAGGAGCAGAAGGAGGAGGAAGACGAGGAGGACCAAGCACGAGGAGGGACGGAGGATGGGAGAGAGGAGCTGGGAGGGGACGAGGGAGCGAGGGATGGGGGCAAGGACCAGAAGAAGGCCGCCAAGAAGGCCGCGAAGAAGGCGGCGAAGGCGGCCGCGGCGGCTGAGGAGGCGGCGCCCGAGGCGAAGAAGAAAAAGCGGGCCAAGGTGGGCGCCCGGGGCCGCGCATCTTTTTCGTCCACCCGTCCTCCCCCCCCTCCTTCCCTCTTTGGTTTTTGGTTATCCTTCTTCTTCCCCCTCCCCCCTCCGTCTTCTTGCTTCTTGGTTCTCCTTCTTCCTCCTCTTCTTCCCCTCCTTTGTTCTCCTTCTTCTTCCCCCTCCCCCCCGGCTGACCCATCGCGCTTCTCCTCGTTGCCGGTGTGGTTGTTGTTGCTGCTGCTGCTCTTCATTCTGTTCGCTCTGCTCCTGCTCCTGGCCACCCCCTGCTACTCATCCTTCTTCTTGTCCTTGGCCTCCTCATCTTCCTCCCCCTCCTCCTCTTCCTCCTCCTCCTCCTCCTCGTCCCTTCTCCATCTCCTTCCTCTCCTTCTTCGTCTCCTCCTCTTGACCCTCTTCCCCCCCATCCCCCATCACGCCTTTCCTGACAATTCGTGATGTTCCACGGTTCCTTCCTCCTATTCCTCGTGCCCCTTCTCTTCATGCTGCTCGGCATCCCCATCCCCCCTGCACGTCCCCCGCGCTCCTCCCTGCCCTCCGCGAGCAGCACGCGAGCGGTACCATAGACCCTCTCCCGCAGGCCGACGCAGAGGAGGACGAGGAGGAGGAGGAGGAGGAGGCGCCGAAGGCCAAGAAGGCCCCCCCGCAGCCGCGCGCGCCCTCTCCTGGATGCCCGCTAAGTTCTTGTGAGCGGTTGGCCGGTCCAACTCCCTCCACCTCATCCTCGTCCTTGTTCCGCACTTCGTCCTCGTACATCTCTTCGTGTCATCGTCACCAGTGCCTTTACCTACACTGCTCCTCCTCGTCCCCCTCGATCTCGTTCTGATCATCAAACCCCGTCCTCTCTCTCCATGTCTCTTCCTCGCCCTCTTCGTCATGCTCCCCTTGCTCCCCTTTCTCCTGAGCCGCGTTCCCTGTTCTCGCTCTTCCCCCCTGGTGGCAAGAAGCTCGGCACGTTCACCACCCAAGGATCGACCGGGAGGACCGCGTGGCCCCTCGGGGCGGACTTCGACAGAGGACCGCCACAAGGGCGAGGGCCACGTGCATCAGCACCAGGATGCTGCGTGTGTGGGGAGTGCGCAGCGGAAGAAACGGAGGAGCTCGGGCGAGGCGCGGTGGAAACTCCTCCCAAGGAGAGTTACCGAACCTGCTGAACACAAACATCCTCCCTCGCCGTCCCTCGTCGCCCCCTTCCCGCTCTTCCCCTGCTCTGCGTCCCTCCCCGAGAGGAAGGAGGCGAACAGAGGTGCAGAAGGAGGGAGAGAAGACATGAGGAAGAGGAAGGAGGAGGGTGGAGGAAGGAGTGGGGATGCGGACCAGAGGGGGCGCGGTGCGGGATGGAGGAAGAGGAGGACGCGGCGGAGAAGAGGGAGGGGGTGCAGACAAGGGGGACGAGGAGAAGGAGGGGGTATGCGGGACGAGGAAGTTGCGGAGGAGAATGGGGGGAAGGAGGAGGAGGGGAGGATGAGGAACAGAGTAAACGCATGGTGCATTAGCGATGCTGCAAGGCACCCTCCCGTCCCACTGCCGGCAGCCCCCCCCTCCACATCGAACGACGAGAGCTTGATTGGCATGCGATTCAAGCAAGGCCCTGCTTTGAACAGGAGCTGCCACCCCATCGTTCTAGATGAATCGCCACGGGGTAGAGCAATGAAGTTCAACGACCTGTCCAGCGACATGCCAGTCTTGCAAACGACCCGGCCTTCAGCCGTGCAACCGTTGCGCACATGTTTCCCCCAAGCACTCCTGGTGCTTAGAAGTTCCTACTTGTTGGTCTTATGTAGCTGGGCCTGTCTGGCGATCTGGCGGCTCTGTGGTCGTCGTTGTCGCACTGTCGCCGCCTCGTCGCCGCGCTTCGGTTGGGCCTGCGTGTCGGTCTGGCGGCTCCGTGGTCGCTGTCGCCGCCTCGTGGCCGCCTTTCCGCCGCCCTAGATTGCAGAGCACATGTTGCACCGCATACGTTGCCACATATATTGCATCGCATCGATTGCACCACATACACTGTGCCGTGTAGATTGCACCACGTGGGTTGCACACCAGGAGTTGCATTACGTAGAATGCACACTATATCTTCTCCTTTCTAGAAAGAGAATAGACTATAACCCCCCTGGGTTTATCTACCCACCTTTCGTATCGCAATTTACATAAGCTTCTGCCCCACCGTCCATCCTAAGCATGAATTCGTACCATCCCAGCCGAGCCGGTATCGACTTCCCCCGCCACCCTCTGCAACAAATACTATGCGCGCGCATTCGTTTATCAAGAAACATCCGTTTCCATGATTCCCTTGCAAAAGAGGGGACGAAGTGCACACGCGCGCGTCGTCGCGCGCGTCAAAAACCGTCGCTGTCGGAAGGGTTTCAAAATCGAGTGTCCAAAACACATATAACAGCACAGGATTTCGCAGCACGGATGTTCAAACAAAGCTTGTGCGCGCGCTCGTGTGAATTCTGAAGAAAACGACAGGTCTTCAACATTGCCACGCTATGCTGCCAAACGGGCTTCGCGCGCGAGCATGTCGAAATCGTTCAAACGCCATTGCGCGAATGGGGGGGTGGCACGATCCGTTTCAAATCGTACCATTCGGGCCACTCTCGCAGTCTTCCGCTCGCATTTCGAACTCCTTTCAAAACCTTCATCACCGCCGCGAAGGTGCCGTCATCGTCGTCGTCGTGATCAGCACTGGCGCCGTCACTGGCTGCCCCGTCGTCGCTGTCAGCATCGTCGCCACCATCGCTGCTAACATCATCGTTTCTACCGTTGTCGACGTTGCCATGATACCGCGCCCGCCCAAGTCGCCGACTCGCACAGGAGAGCCCGCTGGGATGTACCGAGCGGTCAGCGCCACCGCGTTCGCGTCGGTCGCGCCAAACTAGCTGGCCGTTGCGCGCGCGAGTATGCGCAGGCTTGCGCGGCCGCACATATGCGCCAGCCAATATCAAGCACTCATCGCAATCGTTTCCGCCTGGATTTTGCAAACCAAATTGCGGGTGGGTGGGTGGGATGATTGCGCGAGCAGTGGAGTTGACAACTGTAAACTTGTCAAGCGAATTGCACCACGAAGACTGCGCAACATACATTCTACCACATCGGTCGCACAACATAGATTGTACCAAATGAGTTGCACCACGTAGATTACACAAAACCTAATGAACCACATCGGTT